TCAGCCCGCTTGCACATCCTTCGACGAAAAAATACACCGTGTTTATACAAGCTCGGGGAGATGAAGCGTGTACGGTTATTAAATGCGATATAAAGTTATCGAGACTCACCAATAGCGGTGCACACCCCTACGATCCTCGTCATCGTCGACAGATGATGCGCGTCGCTCGGCCTTTCGTAGGTAGACATATCGCCGGCGGGATCCTTCGTCTGCGTTATCATGGGACGTCCGATAAATCTTTTTTAACAAAGATCCTGCGGGAGTACGCGTCGCTCGTAACTGCTCGACCGATATCCTCATAAAGATCTTTATACAAATTTTATTGGCGTTCTCTCGGGTTTACCACGCATAATCGTGCCCTGAAAAAATATGTATGTATCCAATATTAAAAAAAAATTGCATAAGATAAAGAAAAAGGAAAAATTTCGTTTGAAAATTTATCTGACTATAGTGGACGGTTACGTTTTCTCGATCACGAAGGGATGAACTCGCTTACGAGAGTAAACTCTGCGGCAGTCGTTGCGCCGGGGGATCGAAAAATCCGCGTCGCAAACTCTCCGTTAAATTTCTTTTTCGTTTCTTCGCGTATTTCGCGTTATTTCGAAATCCTTGACGTGCCGACAAAACCTTTCGCCGGGCTTATTCGAAGCGTCCTCCACCGTTGCGGGCTCGCGCTAAACTAAAACCAGACGGAGTAAACGCGTCGCGACGCCAAAGAGGAAAGCCCGAACTTGCGCAAATACCGCCCGCGCCCCCGTTCGAAATTTCCTGCGGCTCTGTGCCACGTGCCACTCGTGGGGGCGAGCGACATTATTATTATAAGAACGCGCGGGATATTAATTAAACAAAGGCACCTGCACCACACATTCGCCACATGTGTGTAACCTTTGCTATTTTCTTCTCTCTTTACACACACGTATATATTCCTTATCATGCGATATATTTTTAATCTTAATGTCATATGACGTAACGGGCAAAATATAATTCACCATTATGTTATATTTACGATAATAATATACGTAACGCTATATTTAATCCTTAATTTTTGGATTTCTCTCGTTGAGGGGGAATTTCCGGGATTAGAACAATTATTGCGAGTGTAATAACACGTGGTATTACATTTATCCAACAACATTGCTATATATATTTATTCACATCCAATAAATTTATAATAGTGCGGCATACAAAAATATATCCATTCGCGGTAAGCGTGTAGAACACTTGAACAACACGGACGCGCGGTGAGGTAGAGACAGTATTATCTGCGGAACAACGGTATTTAAAATAAAACGTCGCGCGTATACGCGTGCGACGATCATCTTCCGTAAATACATTTTACACGATAAATATATGTATATACTTCTTAAAGCGTTTCATCGTGCTTCAAGCGTTATCCTGATGCGAAACCGAAACGCGTCAAAGCAACATTTTGTACTCCTCGGCTTTACACGCAGCATACACATATCGAACATTTGTTAAAAATATATTTCTCGCATGCAAGCTGTGTTCAAAGCGCTTCTTCCGATTTCGTCGCGTTAAGCTTTTTCTCAGAGTCTCTCCGTCGCTCGGACTTTCTTCTTCTTGCCTTTGGCCACTCTGGGAGTGCAGTCCCAGCCAGCCGAGAGCAAGCTGATCCTCGATTGCGCCGGAACGATGTGCTTCCCTTGAATCGCCAAAAAATCGCCGCTACGATCGCGAGTCGCGTGGGCGGATTTCGGCATCGTTGCTCGAGATATCGGGCTCAAGGGTTTTCTGTTGCAGTGCAGGGCAGCAGGCGACGGTGCCAATGATCTGAAATTTATAATTTGAATTATCCTTCATCCTCTTAATTTCCTGACCATTTAAAGGAAAGAAGAAACGTTTCTCAATGCACGACCAACGCACCCATTTCTGCTGCTAGGAAGCCTTGAAGTGTCTATGGGAGCGAGTCGAATATTTTTCGGCCAAACAGTAGGAGAGACGGGAGCTTGCCAGGCGGAATGAATATTTGGATTCCTCAATGCACCCGATCTTCTCGCGGAACCTTGGAAGCCAACGTAGCCAGCTGATCCTAAAACATCAACGATTTTTGTGCGAGTGTTAATATTAATGCATCAATCAAATTGATAACTGAAATGACTCGGTGCTCATCTACCTTGGCGGGAAGAGATTTCCAAATTCTCGTACATAAACTTAATCGGGACGGTCTTTAAAGTAGAGAAGCTTTCTCGTGTGGACACCGTAAAAGGCACGGGGCTTACAACGATCCTCTCGTTAAAAATAGTGCCAAGCTTATTTCTGCCTATATGTGGCGTGCACAAGCGTTCCTTGGCCCTCAAAGCGTCGTCATCTCCCGCATCATCAAAGTTTTTCAGTTTGTTCGCGGAGATTGAATTCCTCGTCCTTCTAAAAATCAGATTACATAAAATAAGAAGAAGCGCTCCCGCGTTTAATACTTTATTTTCCTTTCTAATCTTACTTCTGAACTCCTTGATGGTTCGCATCGTTCTTTGTTATCTGAAGGGAGCTTTCGGTATCCAGCAATCGGTTTCTTATGCTTATAGACTTGTTCTCGATATAATTCGGCGAGATTGCTTCCTCCGTCCAATTCGCTTTTGAGTTCCTTGACGAATTTCTATTACCATGAACGGGAGCGGGGGCTATTCTCAGGGCGTCACTTAGGTCATCGTGCAAGGAATCTGTATCGCTCTTCTCGTTAGGAAAAAACTCCGAGATTACATGCTCCATCATCATGTCGAGAACATCTTCGAATTTCGCTTTGTTCAGTTTGTATTGCGCAGAATCCTCTCCCTCCTGTAAATATCATAAAGATACAATATACACATGCAGATTATATACCACTCGCTACAGAAAGCTTCTCCCTTTACCTTTATCGAAAAATTGCGTTCGGCGAATGGTTCATCGTTTTGCGGATCACGTCTCTTCGTCTTTTTGTCGCTCGAGCCAACCTCCCGCTGTTCACAGTCGCTCGTTGCAGCCGGATTCTTGCCGACTATCCTTAGGTACGGTATCTGCGATCTCCACTGTATACATTCGTCCAAAGCGGACTCTTGGAACAGCTGATCGTCCTCCTCGTAGAGGGTCCTCTCCACGGTCGCCCATTGCTGCTCCAGTCTACGAGTCGCCACGCTCTCCACCTCCTGCGACCAGGAAACGGACGTTGCCGCGCTGTTACCGTTGGACGGGGCATCGTCGTCCTTCCACGATTTCTGCCGCGGCAAACTGGGCAGCCGGAAGCGATCGTTCCATTCGTCCTCCTCGCACCCATCGCCCTCGTCCTCCTTCAGTCGCAGCAGGTGTTGAGGAGCCTTGATCTTCTGTGTCAGCGGGCTGATCCTGCGGGATAACGAATAATTCCCCGTAATCCCAACCAATTTCGACAATTGCTCGACGATCGTTTGCCCGAGGGCAATTTTCCAAACTGCCTGTGCGATATAAACAAACCGGACTTACGCGCTTCTCCTGCGGCTGTTACTTCGCATCTCATGCTTTCCCCGAGGGTCCTCCCCATCAACAAGATCCGATCGGCGACGGTCCCGTCGCGGGGATACCACCACGAATCCACAACCTCGCGTGTCTTCCAACAAGCAAGAGAGGGAAACCTTTTACTGATGCCCTTTCGATTTCTGACGCGCGCAACGTCCTCGACTGGGACCTTTTAACGGAGCGGCCGCATCGCTGCCGCGCCTATTTCTGCCATTCATAATTTCTATTTTACGCCGTGCCTCTCACACGCGAGCACATTATCGATCCCCCCGTGCTCGGGCCGTGACTGAAATATTGACCACGATATAACGGAAACGGACTCTCGCGTACCCGCGGCGAGGCTCGTTCCACCCCTATGCGCATGATACTGAGCCACTGAGGGTCGTCGGGGAACCCGGGGTGGCCGGGGGCCACGACGCCCACGACGTGTATTATTCAGCTGAGACGCGAACCCGAGACGCGTCGATGATACGGACGCTTAATGACGCAGAAGGCAAAACATGATTTACTTTTGCCGGTAAGAGACGGTCGGTGTTTTTTTCACTCACAGGGTGCCCCGTAAACCCAGCATTGTAGGAAAAAAATTACAAGAGCGAAAGAAAAGTTATTACTCGCACAACATATTCGGTATCTTCACTATTATTCACAATATGGAAGATTAGTTTATATATTCAATTAAAAAGCAATGATTAATGACGTCAGAATGGCGTTGCATCAAAATATACAAAAAAAAAACGTTAAATATATGATGCTGCACTTGCGAGACGCTCTGTATAACGTTATTGATATCCTCAGCGACAATCTGAACTTTGAGATTCAGTTTATCACAATTATGTTTCGATTATTGTTAGATAACTGGTCACTTTTTGAATTTGGACGATCACTTTCTAAACTATGCTTAGAGGAAAGAAATTATAAAGTTAGTTTGTAAATGTTTTCTTAAATATAAAAGTATTACCATTCCTATAGATACGCGAATGATCCAAGCAGAACGTAAAACTCATGATAACGTTATCGTGATGTCATTGTGAGTTTTATGTCCCAACTGGAGAGATTACGCTACGAATAATGTGATCTGGTTGCGTTATACATGTCAATCGACTTGATTTTTATTCACCATCCCTGTATGCATCGTGTAAAAATATAATTAATTATAAATTCATTATACAATCGCCATGAGAGACGTAGCTTCGCACATACCTCGATATCTCTAGCTAGATTAAAAACGCTGCGCGAATAAACAGCGATCGTGCTATTCACAATTGTTCACCTAATTTGTTTACAATTGTATTACCGCATCAATAATATCAATAATTGAACGATAATCTTCAAGTAGAGACAGGAAACCTCTAAGTTAACATTTTTAACGTTGATTGAAACCAATGCGCGCGCGCGCGCACGATACCTATTTCGATTCGTATTCCGCATGCCGCGACGGAGTAAACAATAATGGATTGAATTTGAATTTATATTCACTAGTAACTTTCTTAGCCTCAAATTTCACTACAGATCGCTTTGGTTTACGTGCACGAACTTAGCGTAAAGCGTTATTTTAAACACTGAAATAAATCTGCTCCAAATATCTCTTTAAAAAAAATGTCACTACTTGCATACTGACTAATATCACCAATTGATACGGACCAATAACTTCTAGGGATTGTATACTTTATATAATTATACAATTTTTTTTTAATGTAATTACTACTGAGAACAAGACACAGCTTCAGGTTTAAATATGCCTTGTGCGTAAAACTTAACAATTGTACAAAGTCCTCTTGCACAATAACAATCATTCACATTGACTATATACTGAGCTTGCAAAGAGAAATTATATCCGTTGTATATATTCGCCTATTATATTTGACGTGAGACTTAATTAACTAGATTGGCGCATCGCGATCGCGAAGATCGCGGATAATAATGAAAAAACAGCCGAATTTTAATGAAACTGTTTGTACAATTTGCGTGATGAATAGTAACTTGGTATATGATGGTGAGCCAGAGCCGATATTTCATTGACATGTCTAAAAAAGCACTAAAATATTCAAGCGTGAGCAGAAACGAGTTAGTTTATCTCGTCTTGTTGTTCGTGGAATCTAAAATGTATAGAAGGTCCGTTTAAGTAATCTTACATTTGATAAAGATTATTGTGAGTATAAAATTATTCGTGAAATAATCTTATGATTATTTCATTAGTTTAATTATTGACCAGGCAGATGTAAGAACGTTACGTACGAATAAACACAGCAAAAACTCGACCAAGGATGTACAAGTGGAAGATTCCTGACAATGAAAGTTTAACGAACGTCCAAGATACGAGATAGTATGTAATTGCCATATATTTACTTATATTGTGTATAGCACACACACAAATGAAATTGATAGAAGTACGGGTACAAATAACCCCCTAGGTTGCCTTTTACATTCTTTTTCAATAACTTTGAAGTCAGTTTTTCATCGAAAACCGATATTATGTACAAATATATAAACTAATTTCCGAAGCATTTAAATAATGTATTTTGTTATCTATAAAGACGAATATGAAAAATAAGTCAGATACAATTAAATACTTTACGTAAAATTTAAGAACTCTCTATACGTAACGTCGGCTCTGGCTATGAACAATAATTCAACTACAGTTATTCTATACGGCAGGACATGATGAAACTCACCGGATAAAAACCACGGAATGAAGAAAGAGCGAATGAAAGGTTTAATTGACTGAATGTCGTTACTAATGATTGTCCCGTCGCTTGAATGAATCAAGCTTGGACCCTCGCATTAAAAAAAATGCTTCTGTATATTTCTCTATGATACAATTAATATTGACTCAACTCCAAACATCACTGGAATATCGCTTCTGCGACTCCATCTTCTTGATGTAATTTGCGGCGTCAAGTTCCGACATGTTGCCACGTTCCATCACCACTTTGAGTAATATATTGTGCACGTCGCGTGCCATGTTTCTCGCATCCCTGAGAAAAACACAAACAATTTAAATTTTGAATACGAATTTCTTTTTTGTAATAGAAAAGCAGATGCATTGGACTAACCCGCAAACATAAATATGTCCGTTTTGTTCACCAATGACACGCCACAATTCCTCTTTGTTCTTCTCGAGCAAATGCGTGACGTAGACTTTGTGCTGTTGCTCGCGGCTGAACGCGGTGTGCAACGTTAGGGTGCCGTTCTTCACGTATTCCTCTAATTCTTCACGATAGAGATAGTCCTCTTGGCTTTTTCTGCATCCAAAGTACAGTATCGTGTCACCCGTCTCTTTACCTGGGATTAAGATTCAAATATTAGTAACGCTCTACCGCAATGAAAATGCTGCGATTACGGAATCAAAAGCAGAGCATGCTTACCTTCCTTTCTCGCAAAGTCCCGTTCCTGTATGAAACCTCTGAACGGCGCTAGACCAGTTCCTGGACCAACCATGATGATGGGGGTACTCGGGCGCGTCGGCAAACGAAACTGAGACTTTCTTACGAAAATCGGGACGAGGCAGGGTGGATCGGAGGGATGTTTCTCCTTCAACCAATTGGTGGTTACACCCTTGTTTATCCTGCCGGTCGGAGTTTTGTACTCTACCACCACCGCCGTGATATGGACCGAGGTTGGATGGAGCTGAAACAGGAATTACGATTTTTACTTAAAGGTCTTTTTTTTAAATATAGACAAATTCTATTATTCTTAAAATCAACAAAAAAAGGATACCTTTGGAGACGAAGATATCGAGTAATATCGACACTGTAACCGTGGCAAGATCTCGCACAAATGATCTAATGGTGGCTTCAAGCTGGAAATATCCTCCAAAATGTGCACAATGTTGCGGTTCTCTTGATTTATCCATTGCTGATAGGCCGCTTTGCCTTCCGCGCTGGTCGACGCCATCAGCTTTAGCTTCTCCTTTTCCGCGGGGTCGCTCGTATATTCTGCTAACTCCTTGAGAACGTGCGTGCGCGGATTACTCGTAATGTCTAGGTAATGTGTCAATGCAGTTCTGTAGCTGCAAGGGCAAGGGAACGGATGTTTCTTCGTGGATTCCTCTGTAAAGCAAATAACAGTTTATCTTTCAAAAAACGTAAATGAATAAATTGTATTTAAAAAAAAAAGAAAAAAAGTAAAAAGGAGTGGAGAGAAAATAAAGAGCGAGTAAATACCATCTGTATTCGTAAGGGTGAAAATAGTATCCAAATTCACGCCGCATTGCTCGCCAATTTTGTTCACCAGCTCCGCATTGTTCACGGGATAAACGGCCAAATGATCGCCTGTCTCGTAACGCATCTTGGAGCCTTCGATGTCGAACTCGATGTGCATGCACGATCTGTCGGATGTGGGACCGTGCAGCTCGCGATTCACTTTCACAGGAGCCAAGAATGGGTTCTTCGCATCATACGGCCTAGAGACAAAAGATGCAGACGTTAAGAATGCTAAGTAAGAACAAAGATTATTTCACGCAATTCCACAGTAAATAAGGACTTACGGTCTCTGATTTGCGAAGGAATGAAGACGCGCGATCTCTCCGGTGTAGACGCGATCGGTCGGCAGATCCACGTGCTCCGTGAGCTTGTATTGTCGAATGCTGACATCTTCGCCGGCTCCCTCGATGCCAAAGAACTCACAGACGGCCGGCCAAAATTTATCTTTCCACGTGATGAAATCATCCTCTATGCTGTAACATTGAAATTAATTATTAAGAAAAAGAAGCTCTAAATTGTAGAAATTAAGAATGATTGGTAAGACAAACAAAATATATTTGCCTATAATGAATGTGATGAAAAAAATATTTATTTTAAATTAAAGAACGAATGGAAAAGGGGAGGAGGGGCACGTTGGGAACCTTACTTTGCGTCATCATCCCCGAGACCCAGCTCGAAAACGCGCGTAGCACCCAATTGTTCCATTCTGTGATCCACGTATATGCCAATCTCATTGTAGTGCTCATAGGTCTTATTACCCAGCCCGAATACCTGAAAAGAAAGTAGGTAAGCGATTATGCAAAGCGATTATTGACGTGCATTCTAACCTTTGACTATATAATAAATATTTATTTAGTATTTATATAGTACTTGACTATATAAATCTTTGACTAAATAAACCTTTACCCATATAAATACTTATATAGCCCTTATATAAACCTTCCTATACATACATAGTACTTATATACATATAGTAGCTAAAGATTAATTCTGGTTTATTCGACTATATAGTAGCTAAAGATTAATTCTGGTTTATTCGACTATAAGTATAGTCCAAAGTTCAAACTCTTCAAAAAATTAGCGGGAATCTCGTGCGGCGATGCCGGCGATCGGCAATTTTTCTGTTTTTCATCGATTTTCTAACCTCAATATCTCTCAGTACTACGTGCGACACGCGCGATATCGCTGCACGCCGCCGCGCCACGACAGCGCCGACCCGGCGACGGTGCCGCAAGGTGAGGCGGAAGAGCTTATTGCACGACATTCCGATGTTCATGATTCGTATCGAAACGCATTCGCGTACGTAATATCGTAGGCGATAACGCCGGTATCGCTAGATACTCGTCGTACTTCCGACGTTACCGTGCACCGGCACTTTCACTTTCTATCCGAAGAAACTGTGATTTTATACACCCGTGGGGCCTATTCTGTAAAACGACAGTTTCGTTATCGTTATATTGTCGTTGCGCAGCTTTTTTTACTATCTGTGCAACACAAGTAAAAAAAGCAAAAAAAGCTGTGCAACGACAATATAACGATAACGAAACTGTCGTTAAGAGTTAAAAGGCCTTCACACATAAAATGCCGTAAGGACGTAAGCGTAAGAAAACCGATCGATCCCAAGTATTTTCCCCTACTGGGGTTACGGACAGCACAATACTTGATTGGGATTGGTCGATTTTCTTACGCTTTAAGTTTTTCGTAAGTTCTTCCGCGATTTTATGTGACGGCCTTACAGAATAGGCCCACCGGTATCGAACATAATCGTCGCATGTGTGATGACTGTGATGTATTGTATGCTGCTCGACAGTCAATCATGCGTTTACGTAACGCCTAATGGCGTACTGGACGAGAGGCCCGAGAGGGCACCACTGCAATAGTACAATGTCAAGGCGAGATATATTCTAATCATTTAATTTGAAAAATAAAACAGATACGAAAGCAGGACAGAAAAAAGCAAGAAAATAGCGCAAAATAACGCGTAAAAAGAAAAACCGCAAAAAGAAAAAATGCGAAAAAAAAAAAACAAATGCAGGAAGAAAACGAATGCATTATAGAAAAGGAAAAATGTGAAAAGCGTGAAAAGAAAAATACGAAGGAATAAAAGAAACAATAAGGAAGAGGAAGACAAATTCGTTATTTGTGTGCATTAATTGCATCCTTGGGTCACATCCGCGTTTTTTTTTTCCCCCAACATATTCTCGCCGCGCATAATTATCGTTATTAAGATTATTAATCGTCAATGCGTGTATTATAAAAGTTAAATTGAATTGCCTGAATTGTACACAAAGCAGTTTACTCAGACAAAGGACGAAATTAACTTCACGGCGATTACGACGTAATATGTTCGATCCGGAAGTATTCAGTGAACATATAAATCCGAGGACGTATATATACATACCGCGTAGTTTAATCCTGTGAGATCACCGTCGCCGTTCTTGAGCCAATCAATGAATTCCATCGCGTTGTCGGTGGGATCGCCCTCTCCGTACGTGGCCAAGCAAAACACCGCCAAACTGTTTGGAATAGTCTTCAGATGTACTAGCTCCTCCTGTCGCAGCAAAAACAAACGTTTCTTGCATCATTAATATTTTTTTTTTGCGTCACGGATAATATCGTTATTTATCGTCCGCAGTAAGGTCGTCCAGTAAGTCGAGACGAGACAACTACCAATGTACATATGTTTCTGCACGTGCGAGAAACGTGCACGTTTAATAGTTAACGAGAATGTCTCAATTGGCTCAACAGCATCACTCGAGAAGTCTCGCTCGGCAAGTTTCCGTCTCTCTCGCATGTGGAAATGTACGACAAACACATCCTCGTGCACTTGCAAATTGCAATTTAATTCCCGCGCTCTCTCTTTTCCCCTCTCCGAGATTACGGACTTACAGTAAATCGCCATAACGATTTCGCTTACCATATCGCACTCCTCGGGATCGGCCACCATGCCCTTCATCTTGTATCTAATGCCCTCCTTGGCGAGACGACCCGCGAATTCTTCGGCAGTACCCGTCTGGCTGCCGTAGAACACCACCAGACTTCGCCCGGAGGTTTTCAGCTTCTTGATAAAAGAATTCTCCGATGGTGGTATCGAGGCGCTGGACGTCGATCTGTAATTGAAAAATCGTAGGCGTTCAAGCAGCGCATTACAATGCCACTCTAATCCTTGCACTATTAAATTCGTAATATTGTCAAATTATAACTCAATTTAAGTCATTTTGAACCATTTCTGTAGGTCGCCACTTCTCCTACTCAAAAAATGTCGTTAATTTAAAACAATATTAATTTGACTAAACCAATGAAGTTAAAATAATACTGTTTTGTGTTAAAATAATAAATTTCGACACACATTGTAGTTAAAAATAACAAAATATTATTTAATTCAAGGTATCAGTTTAACGTCAGTTTCTACCAATGTAGATTAACTTTAATCTCGGTTTAATTTACTTTTTATCTTTTGCTAATTGTTAAAATTAGAAAAAGACCAATTGGTAAGTTAAACAATGCAGATTAAAGTTAATCTGCATTGATAGAAATACACATTAATTTCCTTTAAATAACAGTGTGGATTTTTCTTATGTCGATTTCTATCAATGTAAATTAACTTTAGTCTCGGTCTAAAAGATAAAAAGTAAGCTATAATAATTAAAGATTAAAATTAATCTACATAAAAATGGAGTCTTATTTGCCGGTTCAACCAAACCTCCTCCTTCCTTCGAGTGATTCACGAAGGAATCCCGACTATTCGCCGGTAGCACTTCGACTCGAATCCTATCGAGGTCCTTCCTTTTACGCAAATCAGGGATCGTATAAGGATAAGGCGTTTCTCTCTCTCTCTCGATAAGAACCGCACTTACTGAATGGAGTAGGACTTTGTCGCTGGCGTGAGTGCGTCTCGCTTTCTCCTTCTCAGGAGCCACCATGCTGCCGCTACGAAGAGACCAACGACCAACAGGACGTCCAGGACGCTGAAGTACGTCTCGTCGTACGCCTCCGTGCCGCTTCCGCTCTCCGGTGATCCTGCCATTCTTATAGCCTTGGGTTGCGACGCGTCCGCGGTCTGCGAGAGATTCAACACAATTTCAATTGATTGATCGTTTGACTTCAGCGGGATTTATACTTCTCGTGTATGAACTCGAGAGACAAGACTCTTCATGCCCGCGCCAGATTATTTCGCTCGAGACGTGGACAAAAATAGGTATCGTACTTTTTTTTTTTCCCTCCCATTATCTTATCATTCTTAACTCCACGCTTGCAACGCTAATTATCAATGTAGTCTTTTCGCCATTAATACAGAATATGATCAAATAGGTCATAATATGGTCTTTGTTGCCAGCGCTCTCAAAAACCTAAACTCAAAGTCCGAAATGTTTCTATTATACCAAGGGTACGACGTAGCGAGCGGAAATTAGGAAACGCTATCGTTCTTGACCCTCCCCATTGTAGTATCCACTAGTTAAGGATACACAATTGTCGCATAAAAATTATTACGCACTCGAAGCGGACATAGCCGTGACTCGACTCTTATTATCTCGCCTTTATCAAGGTTGAATGTCAGTGATAACGCCTGTCGCGGATCGTCGGGTGGATTTATTTTAAAAGAGGCGCTTTACGCCGGGCAATTTACGTCAGTATTTTGCATTCGGATTTTTCGCGTGAGCCAGACTTTTCCCTCGTCTCCTCCTCCCCCCTCCCCCACCCGTTCGAAATTGGAATAAATGCTAATAAGTCTGACAACGAAATTCATGTGAATGGTAATTTCCTTTCGCAGGCTTTTGCATCACGATCGACCGTTTGTTCGTCATTGTTTCGAGCGGTGGTCGAGTTATCGCGTAAGTCAATCGACCGTCTTATGAAAGAAATACTGGCGGTAAGCGAGCTGTCGAAAAAGACATTTATTAAAAAGATATTTATTATTGGTATGAAAATGTAAAAATCGTCTTTAACTACGAGAAATCAGTCGATTCGAACGGACAATGCTCCGATTGCAGAAAGAAAACGCGTCTTCCACGGGCACGTGCACTTGACACCGCTTGATAATGACAGAGAAAAACGAATGACGTATACAAGTCCTTGTAAAATAATTGTTGTTTTAATTATATCAGCCACGCGCGCGGTTCGCCGGCGGCTCCTATCGCAATCGTCCGAAGTGATAAAATAGTAAAGTGATAAAGTAGTAAAATAGTAAAGTAGTAAAGTAATAAAAGTCAAGGGTTCACCTCACGTCAACGATCGAGAGAGTCGCTGTTTATTTACTTACTACTGATTTCGTCACTTATTTACTACGATGAATGATTGACGCTGGTGTTATTGACGACTGGCGACGCGACGATTCCGAATCCCGACGTTCGGGAGATTTCTGAATGTCATACTCGCACGACATTCGGCCGAGATTATGACGAAAGGTTGTCATTGTCGGCCGAGATTATGACTCACGCTCGCGATCGACGATAATGATAATAAGGCGGGATTATTTGGCATTACTCTGCACGTTTCGGTTCCACACAATATTCGTTATCTCGTCGCGAGAACGCTGATATTATTTTGTCATTCTGACGTCGAGAAAAAAACACATTCATTACGCGGCTGCACGGAAGAGCGAAACTTATATAATTATTGTGTCACAGCTTAATATACAGCTTGCGTAACGCAAGTGGGATCTATTAGATTCGTGATCGTCACCACCGCGCGTTCGCGGTGAAGGAATAAAATCGGCTCAGATTCACGCGAGAGTTACACGTTTTTAAGGAGCAATGAGCTCGAAACATCATCTGTTGTTCTTCATCTATAATCTATATCAAAGCACGCCTTTATTATCTTATTTCTCTTCGCTTATCTACCTGCCCGCTTATTACGACAGTCGCCTTATCTTGGATTTATTCCGCTCGCTCGATTCACCGCGACCGTCTGAAAGCGTCACGATGACTTCTGAAAAGCGTCCCGTGCTGAATGAGGAAAAAGTCACGTAACCGAGCTTGCTTAGTATGCAATTAGCTCCTCCGTTGTATTGCAAGAATTTGAAAAAAAAAAAAAAAATGAAAAGCGCCGCGTTCCGGCCATAAATCTTCCGCGAGATTTACATTGTCGGTTGTCAAACCGATATAACGACCTCGCGAGCGTTGATTGATCGTTATTATTAGTTTACAAGTGTTTAACTTTAAGCCGATCTCCATTTACCTAGTAGCGCTGCGAAAAAAAAAATACTCAATGAATTCGCGGAAAATTACGCAATTATTTCCTGAAACGACAAAAACATGTATATGTACAAAATATACAAAATTGGTGAAGTTTGCTCATTTCGTTAGGACACTTCATATTTAACGGGCAACTTTCGATAAATAGTTAACCATTAACTACAGATAGCTTATCGTTAATAAAAAAATGTTTTAAAAAATAGAACCGACTTTTCAAAAAAAACTAAAAGGTATTTAAAAAATTTAAAAATATTAAAAAAACATACATACACGCCGAATATAGAACCTCCTTTTTTTGAAGTCGGTTAAAAATGAAAAATTGGTAAAAATGCGCTAGGAAATTGTTTAGCAGGCCTTCGGTCCTCAATTACCACGTGACACTTTTGACATCAATTACCCGATACACGACAAACTTTTTGTCTTATTTAATTATACTTATTTATTGCAATTTAAAATCTGTCGTCGGAAGGTATTATTTCCTGGTGGCTTCAAAATACTCTTAAGTCGTCGGAGGCCCTTATGCGCTATTCTGTTTTAAATATCCTTGCAACTCGGATCCTAACAAAAAATTTTTAAACTGGGGTGAAAAATTTTAGATAGGGTGCAATATTTGAAAAGAGTATAAAAGTTGAAAATGGAAATAAAAAAGTAAGAGACTCCTGTCATTTTACTGAAAAATATGCAACTAATTCTTTTCTATCTTTTTTTAGTAAAATTTTTGTTATAGCTCACTCAAATAATAATTCTATCGAATTACTCTACTTAAAAAGGTAGATGAAATAATTCATTAGTTGAATATTTGCCAGTAAAAAGGCAGAATTCATTTACTTCTTTCACAAACTTTTTTTCAACTTTTATAAATTTTTTTTTACCCACCATGGCCGATTTTCGGAAAGAGCAACTCTTTTTGAACCCTAAATATCAATTGACGTGTAAAAATTTTGATCAAAGTCCGAATGACAAAGATTTAAAACAGAAAAGCGCCTTAGGGGCCTAGTGATTGTCCTAGGACTTAATGGGTTAAGGTCAAGTTATTTACGTATATTGATCCCAACGGTCAACAACACTTAATTTCTAGTGACCCAATGTCGATCTTCCAGCTTTACCTTGACCTTAGTCATGGATTTATCCTTGACTAAATCCTTGAATGAATTTCAGAAGTTTAATTAAGTCAAACAACATTTCAATCGCCTTGTCTACATTAAATCACAGATATCGAAAACTGAAGAACGAGAGAGATGCCGTTAATTTGCATCGTCCGGTATCAAATACTGACCGAGCAATCGCTATTACTAAACGTATTTCATTGACACAGTTATACTGCGTCATTGATGCTAATTTCCTTGTTTTCTTCCGTTTCTTTCATTTCGTATACGAACGTCTAGTTCGTGTCTAACGTGATTTATGCGCCGCGGTAAATGTCGGAGTAACGCGTTTCATTCTCCGCACGTTTGGACCTCTTTAACAAATTGTATCGTTCAATCGTCGAGAAAGATACGATTAAATTTCACAAGTTACATTAAAAAAAAAATAACCGCGTACTCTTTAGAAGTATTAAAAAAATGTCAAAAAGTCCAAAGGCTTTTCGATCCATTTTACGCAGTTTCCGACAAAAATCGACCTCCTCTGCGTATCCGACATGCGTGACAGCGCACGTCAATCAACACGATCTATACCCGGAACTCACACAATTCCTGGAAATCACGGATCGCGTTATCTCCTCGCGCCGCGTCAACAATCATTTTACATAACGTTATTTTGATTCGCTTACCGGAAGATCCATGCTGTACGCTTGAGGGAACGTACGAGCGAACGGAATTCGCGGAAGCTTTCGCAAGCGGGATTAAATGCACGTGGCGATGCCGCACGATGTCTGAGCGATCACGTGCGAGAATCTACCGCGACGGCGATCGGCGCGCGACTGTAAAACGGTCGCGGAGCGGAACGCCAAGTCGAGCTCGCGCGGATTTCACGATACGACACCGACGATACGATCGAGTCCATCAATATGCATGCGTCGTAAACGCGCACGACGATGACCACCACCACCGCCGCTGCCGCCGTCGCAAATATGTGCCATCGTGACGAAGTGACAAGTCATCCTACACTTGCGCGTAATTAAACGCTCGGCGCGGCTTCCACCCCGATAAAAAATCCGCGCGATGCGAAATTAACGAAATCCGAAACTTCCCCGGAAATCCCGATCGCTCGGTTACCTCCCGTTCGCGCGCACGAGAAACAATTTTCGTTTCCGAGTGGCGTACGTGCGAAGTCGCACATGTTCGACCGATGGGCATTAATTTCAAAATCGACCGATCACGTTCTCGAGAACAATGAGTCCGGAATTATTACGTAGAAATCGCCGAATTATCATTACGAACATATATTCTGATTATTCTCGGCAAACCGTAACCGATTAATCTTTAGTGCGAGCTCTAGGCAAAATTTTGTTTAAATAATAGGCTGTTTTAAATAGACGCAACGGATGACGTAAGCCGAGAATCGTCAAACACGTGCAATTGTCAGCGATACGGTCGTCAGCGGGACTTGAGTTTCGTCATTTAAACGGCGCTCGTCTATCGTCACTCGCAACTACGAATATTTAATGGCACTTTGGCCTTTATTATTGCAATCGTCTTATTACTTAACTGTAACGAATAACGCGTCTGTCGTTTCTTCCTGAATTCCTTCAACGTGTTTCGACGAAAATTGTACTATTTAACAAGAATACGTTACATACATACCGATATACCATTATGTATTCCTAGCCGAATTATACAATAATTATATAATAATTCAGTTACGCAAAACTTACAGCACGCGTTATGTCTTTACTAATTTGTTGACGAGTGTTTTTCCTCAGACGTTTTCCTTACACGCTCGGAGATTCCATATTTTTATACAGCATTACGTATAATGATGTAAAACAATGTAATCGTTTAATTCTGAATTTAATTATATATTTAACATAATTTAAGTAAAAAACGTAAAATTAAATACTTCAGCAATATATTCTGTAAACTGGAAAAAGAAATCTTAATGCGGAAATGTCAGAAAAATCAGATTAGAAAAAATTAAGTGAACGTACACGTGTATTGATATGCATATGCAACGGTAATTACTTTATCAACATATTACGCATTAAAATGAGAAATTTAAAAGTTTAATATAGGAATGCAGCCTATATTACAAGGCAATGCATTGTTGCAGGTTGCTGGTTTAATTTACGATATTGATGACTATGCATTTTACATCTGCTCTTGTATAATTGTAAGATTTCCTTCTTGCGATAACTAAAACGCGAAGAACAAAGATTACAAGATTCTCCGATATAAACCCGCCGCCGAGTATACCGATATACATCTTCGACACAATCTCGTATAATGTGTAATTATTACATAGACGGTCTATACGTATTTTTTGCGATTTGTCTCGAGATACGAAGAGATTGCCGGTATCATTTTGTCGAGCAAAATAAAATATAATCGCTGGGAATTGTGCGGCGCATTCGAAAACATGCGGTGCATGCAGATGGAAGTCGGTCGAGAAAGTGAAAGCCAATAAAAGGAAACGGGTGAAAAGAAAGAGAGAGAGAGAGACATGCCTCGCGCTAATGTAACTGCGTAATTAGGCGGTTTTTGTTAACGACTTGACGGCACCGACGGAGAAGAAAATTTCCCCGCCGTAATTATTTCCCGATGACATCCGTCGGGTAATTTTACCCCTTCACGCCGAAAGAAGAGCCAATCGTTGCTCCAGTCGTTCAACGCTCTCCTATATGCCTTCCTGCCCAACGGAGAAAAGGAGGGCGGGCTATTGTATGCAAACAACATCCCTGAAAAAAATCTTGCGGTTGCAATATCGTTTCATTGTTATGTTGGATGAAGACGGATGGATTATTGGTCAATTTGTCAGCAGGAAATGATGAATAAAATATCTCTCCGCTTCGATGAGCGATACGCGCGTGATATACTTAATAGCCATCTCTGTCCCGACGAGCGATAGTTTAGGAAGGCAGGCCGTTATGGTGGCGAATTTCAATGTTAACTGCACAAGGTCAATTTTTTTAAATTATACGTCCGGCGACGTATCGCCCGTACCTACATACATACGTCACGCGTCTAATCTACATGATATAAAAGACATGATTGCTTTATCGTTGTATATATATATGTGTATACGTATGTATTACTAAAGCGAAATTTTGCCAGCAATTTCGACGAATTTCCGGAGCTATCGGTTAGCCAGATACTGAGCTGTATCCGACATATTCTAATACATGCTAATATCGCATTAAACGAACACGATATATCGATGCCTCGGTTGTTTTTCTTTTTTTTCTTTTATCGTCTGCACGAGTTTATCGAGCGCGTCCATGATTCTTCGGGCAATCATGAATCCATTAAAATTTCATAAATAATTCACGAGCATCCGCAGCGGAATAACTTTATTGATTGTACTAATGGCGTTAATAGATTGGGACAGCTTTAATCACAGATGCATGCTCATCATGATGTCTCTTCACGCATTGTCCGCCTTTCTTCTACTCTCACGACAGAAACCCGCAGGCGAGTTTTAACTTATATCCTAACAAACTGGATTTTTTTTTTTTAATCTTTTGAAGTGGACCCCAAGGAGTGATTAAGCGCGGCGTCAGATGACTTAATTAACTAAATTATACTGTGTTTGTACTTTGTGCCTGTTACAGTTACGATCGAGAAGGAAATTACGACGCGAGTTGAGAAAAAGCGAGAGTGCTGACTACAAACAGCGAGGCAAATCTGTGCGAGGCTGTGGAGTTTGTCGGTGACGAAATTTCTCAACGATGACAAGCGAATCTGAAAAGACGAGTGAACCTGAAAGGGAAATAGCAGACGCTGAAGTAAGCGTTTCTGAAAACGTTTTTAAAAATCGACGTTTTATATTAAGGGAAGGTCGATTTCTCGACGAAGATTTCGCCGACGATATCTTCTCCGGCATAATCTCATCGAGCACTCATAGTGGCAATCGCGATTTCTGCGTGTCATTTTTTTCACATTTCACAATTTAAAAACAAAATTCTCGTAAAACTGGAATGGTCCTTTTTTTAAAACCCGATTAGTTCCGGTTTGCTCAATCGAATGTATAATTAAGCATAACGCATCGCAATTAGCGTGACATTATAAACTGCGAGACAAAATATATTCTCAAAAACATTCAACGAGATTGGCTAACGATATACAAAAGTCTATGAATATCCACATAAGTGCACCAGAACACGCACAGCGAAAAATCGGTACTTGACGAGATACTGCCGGGCGTTAAAAATACCGTCAGCGAAATTCCTGATGGTGATTTCGTTCGTCAGTTACGACGCATATCAACAACGAAAGGGGAATTGCGTTGCAGGATTCAAATGACGAGAGAAACGAGGAGAAGATCGAGATCGAGACGACGTCGAATCCGAAGCGGGAGGACAGAAAGCAGCCACCGAAGGCCTGCGACGAGGAACCCTACATTGTGAAGCTATTTAAAAGTCTAATGAATCCTCAGGGAAGTCGGGAGAGCGCGAAGGATAAGAAAAAATGACACGTGAAAAATCTCAGAAGCTACATAAAATTCTTGCGAACAAAGGAGACATTAGCGAGAGACATTCAAGAGTGCGGGGACTATTGTGACAAAAAATTAATAAATTTTAAATTATATCCGTGATGTGTCTCCGCATTTTACCAAGGCCGTTTAAACGAGAGATAAGAACCGTCTGCTCTCGATGCGATAATTTCTGTCGACTGAACAAGTCAATTAAGTTGATATCAACGCAGGAATATTCGACACTCTGACGTAGTAGTAGACAAGTACGTCAGCGCGATCAAAGTGTCGGTGATCAATCATCATTTTTGGAGGAACCTGCGTCGACAAACGCATCACGTGCGAGCATAATATAATTCTACATTGTCATTGCGCCTGCGGGAATAGTATAACGCGATAAAACGTCCAAGGTCGACGTTCTCGCTTCTGCCCGCGTGTTCTTCGCGGGGATTTCGAACACGATTAACACGTTTTTTCGTTGTACGACGTAACGTCGAGCTTCTGCCGAGCGCGCGTATAACGATATCGATAACGTCTCGGCCGCGCCGAACCCATGCTGAATAATACATTTGGGGTTCAAAGATCGTACACGTGTTCTTGTGTGATTGTCTTGACGCTTAATGCCCATTTCTGCCAATGTAGATTTACTTTAATCTCGATGTAACTTATCTTCCATTTTTTTTTTCTACAAATTCTTAGAACTGGAAAAAAATAAAAAACAAGTTAAATCGAGATTAAACTTAATTTCTACATTGGTAGAAATGGACACGAGATAAGCTTTCCAGACGAGATCCGAGATCTGGAGGAATCAAAAACGCGCCGTTCGAAGATGATCTCTCAGAAGTTGCCGTCTCAGGAGTCTCGTTTTTATCGCTCTACAAAAAGTAAAAGAATATTATAATAGATAACGTATTTCTATAAATGCACGTTAACTTTTATCTAATTCTTAGAACTAAAAACGATAAGTGAGTTAAATCGAGATTAAAGTTAATCTACATTGGTGATAGAAACGGACATGGGTACCGCGCGACAAGAGAACAAGGTATCGGAAGGTGGCGATAAGAGAGTATAGATAACACCGAATTTTTTTCACGAAGGATAAAAATTCCAAATTCCTAGAACGCTTCCGTATATACGTTATCACCGAACACTCTTTCGACATATCAGCGATGTAGTCGATAAATTCTGCCGTCGAATATTCATTTCCAATTGAAACGGATCTTTCCATGTTTCCTAAAGTTTTCTCATTTTCTCAACTCCTTAGCTCTTTAATCAACCTCTTACGCGGATCAATCTCTTTATGTCCATTTCTATCAACGCAGGTTAATTTTGATCTTGATTTAACTTACCTGTCATCTTTTCCTAGTTCTAAAAGTTAGAAAAAGATAGAAAGTAAGTTAAGCCGAGATTAGAAGTTAATCTACATTGATAGAAATGGGCATTAGGCCCAGTTTCACAAGTGTCGGTTAACTTTTAACCTTAGATTAAAGGCCATTGCACGTACTTAATAAAGTTTCGGTCATAATCGTAAGATCGTAAGAAAATAGACCACGCACAGTTGATTATTCTCCTTGAGCTCGAAGAATAATCGAGTGTGGTTGGTCTATTTTCTTACAGCTTTACGATTATGGCTAAAACTTTGTTACGCGCAATGGCCCTAACTCACTCTTCGTCTCCTTCCAACGTGCCCCTTAGAAAGAGACAAAGAGTGAGTTAATCCAAGATTAAAAGTTAACCGACACTTGCGACACTGGGCCTTAATGAATCTGTGTTCTCTAAAATTTTCTATTTCGTTTTTCAACTCCTTGCTCTTTAACAGGACCTCTCATAAAAGTTAATCATAAGAGAATCAAACTCGGGATCTCATCTACAAGTCGATTGCTTCTGCACGTGGAGTCAAGCGTCGTCCGCGGGGAGATCTCTTAATGGCGAGACTGAAAAAAAAAAAAGAGGACAAAAAAGAAAAGAGAAAAAACGGAGAGGAAAAATTCTCATTCCGCAAGACGATGCAAGACACTCTAGTCGTCTATCGTCGCGAATAGTGAAAGCGGTCTCGGACAAGACTCCTGGAAAACCGATGCAAGGCTCCGGCTTTTATTGTCCACTTCTCCGCGCTAATTGCCGCGTTTCACTCGAGACGCGCATGCACACACGCAACGCGCGCGCGCGCGCGGGGATGCCGCGATGAGGCATGACATACGCGCGCCGCAGAAAAAACTCGATTCAACCTTGTAACACCAGAGATTACACACAGGGAAAAATTCTCGCTCGGCGTTATCTCGATGACGATTTGTTCTTGCGAAAACGATACATGCCGAGTCACCGTTCGTAGTCTCGCTCATCGTTTATGTCACGCGTGGAAATAATCCGAATCGGGGAAACGATCAGAAAACGCGTATAATCTTCCTATTGTTTTCCGAGCGTGTAATCGTTTGGAAAATCATTTTATCATCGCACGTGCGATCGCGCTCGTGCGGCGCGCCGGTATACGGTCGGGGGAATTAATCCGACGCGAGACGAGAGAGAACGCGTTCGTCGATCGACACGTCTTGCTGAAATGTTCCGAAACGCGAAACGTTTCGAACCGCGCGATCAATTTAAGAAACTGAAGGGCCACATGCTTACGTGTCTCACGGGAAGATCCGACTGTTCGATCGACGAGCGACGCGTCGCGCGCCGTTACATCCGTTGGACTGTGCAGCGATAAGAGGGTACCAAAGGGGTCAGGGGTGCACGGTATCAAATCTATACTTTGTAGGCGCTTCTGACCTAGTGCAACGAAAACGAACAGACCTCTTTTTATCAGCTGTGTTGACTGACCTATCGATACGAAAACCATCGAGGGGTCCTGGGAAACGAGAAACGGGTGACGTTGCGCGACTTCAATTGCGCGCTAAAGTAAAACGCCGGATAATGAAGCGCGTACCATGCAAAATCTTAGTCGTGCAAAGTCTGCGTTTCCCGCGGGGATCGCAAAAGGTCCGCGAGATTAGGCCTGTTTGTTTTCGTTGCACTTCTGAACCAGTGCACAAAGTTTGAATGTGAAACGACGAATATATAATTTTCTTCTCGTTCCAACGTGTTGCACGTTGCACTAGTTCGGAAGTGCAGCAAAAACGAACCAGCGAGGATCGATCATGTATCTTATTTTCCCCTAGGACGAAAACGTGAAAAGTGAAGAGTTTATCTCTTTCTGTTCGACACCAATAGAACGAGATAGTTACATGAAACTTGTCACTTTTCACGTTTTTGCTCCAGGGAAAAAGTTACATGATCCGCCTATCCCAGAGGTCTATTGTCACGCGAGATTCCGAGCCTCTTATCAGTCACGTGACTCCGTGGCTCCTCGGCCTTTTCGGTTTCCAATCCCGCCACCACTCCTCCCCCTCTCCGCCGCTTTACCACCTGTCGGAATGCGGTTCGAAATTTACCTTTGAGCGGCTAACCGGTTATTCGGGTAAACGTCCGATGCTCGATCGCCCGGTCTTCAATAGCGACGCGTGACGGACGCTGCGTCGTTCCGCTAAAGGTGTAGTATATCGACGACGACGCGGCGAACGACGACGGGATCGAATTTCCAGCGGAGCGAGGATGGCGAAGGCGCGCGTACGTGCGTCGCGCGAGCGACCCGGCGATCGGCCACGATCGGCGACGGTCGGTGGACTCGCGGGTATCGGCGTTGCTCTCTTTTTGTGTCATTCTCCGACCGATGCAGTCCGAGCGCCCGAGCGGAAATTCGCAGGACGGTTGATAAACGTGCACCAACGAGCACGCGTTAGACGACGGTGGCGCCGCGAGCGGGGGCGCGCGGCCGGCCGCGCGAGATTCAAATGGAGACGCCCGCGCGGAGTCGCGACTTTCGTCTCACGATTCTCTTTCCGACTGTATAGAAGCAAGAATGTCGGGAACACCCTCGTGACGTGTCCCCTCCATTGTTAGTTACGAGCGTACGTTGTGTGTTTAACTGGCCGCTTTTATTTACTTTGCATTTCCAATCTTATCATCCATTATTTGAATATTGCTCAAATTCCGCCGTCACGTCGGGCATCTGGAACACTTCAGCACCCTCCGCCGCTTCGTCTCGGCCTCCCTTGACTCCCTTTTCAACGCTGGAAAGAAAGAGCGGAATCAGCAATTTGTCCTTACTTTGCATTAAGGATGAGCTACATATCCTTCGTGCGTTTACGCTGTTAAATTCATAGTATTAAATTATATGCATAGTGTTAAATGACTCAATTTGAGTCATTTTAATCATCTTTATAGGTCGTCACTCAAAGACCCATATTCTCAACTCTTTTTTAATGATGAAAGTATTAGGCTTTTATTTGTGAGATGCTATAGTATATGTAACATGAACTATAGCATTTTAGAAATAAATGCGCGCTTTTATTTATAAAAGAGAGTTCAGAATATGGGCCAAAATATGTCGTTAATTTAACTAGGCCAATGAAATTAAAATAACACTGTTTTGTGTTAAAATAATAAATTTCAACGCACCTGATAGTTAAAAGTAACAAAATGTTCTTTAACTAAGGTATTGGCTTAAATTTTATTCTTTTATATTTAAATGTATGTTGGCTCTCTACCGAATTCCCACGGATTTCCACTCACTTATCGTCGCCGAGCCGATGTTGATCGGTTCGAGCTTCAAGCTCTGCATCTCCCGCAGGGCCATCGCGTGAAAGGAGAGCGCGGCGACCCGCGTGAACAATTCGGACACGCCGTTGCCCGTTCTCGACGAGACCGCCCAATATTCCGCCCGCATCCGGCTCGCTGCCTCGATCGCTCGTTTCTCGACTATCTCGTACACCGGGCGTGACTGTCATTTCCCAGAAAGAAAGAGCGATCGATAAAATCGATGGCAATAATATAAATAATAAAAGTGATGAACAATATTTCCAAAATACTTACTAACAGATCCTTCTTAGCGCCGACCAGAAAGATATGATAAGGACCGACGTTGCAGCGACTTGCCTCGTTCAACCATTGCTGGCAGTGTGTCAGCGACATCAGGTTCCCCAGGTCGAAAACGACCATGATTACTAAAATGAAATGCGCGTGAGAGATGCAGAGATACAGAGAGGCAGGTATAAAGATTATGTGCAGGGACGAGGGATTTTCACCATTAGCTCCGCGGTAATAAGACGCCGCTATGCACTTGAACCTTTCCTGTCCCGCGGTGTCCCATCTGCAAGTATCCCATTGTCTCAAATTACTATTACATGTTACGTTCAATTCACTCCGTAAACATTTAGCGCCTCTCGTCAGCTTTATTACATTTGCAGGTGGAAAGGCACGCCGAGGATGTCGAATCTCTCCACCTCGAAGTCCACGCCGATGGTGGCCTTGTAATTGTTGTCGAAGAGCTTGTGGCAAAAGCTGCGCAAAAGAAATGATCAATTTTTTTCAAAATTTTACTAAACGATACGGTGTGGTCGTTCGCCGACGAGTCATTACCGGTTCACCAACGACGTTTTGCCGACGGCAACGTCGCCGATGACGATCACCTTGGAGATCCGAAGGGTCAGGCTCTTGTTCTCGCAGGTCCGTCTGATCAAGCCGCCGAAGTCGCTCTCGTTGTACGGCGTGATCTCGGACGAGAAAGGTGGCGGCCAATCGGTTATCTGTCGGCGAAAATCAGAGAGAGAAACATACGTTCGTGTACGTTCGAGCGTTAATTAATTCGAGAATGGGTTCCCCTACCTGCCTCTCATCGTGAGCCTCTTCCTTCATCATTTTGTAAACTGCGGAGCGCGTTTCTAACATATCTAACTCTCGGCTAATCGAATATGCAAGCGCTTTTGAGAAGAAACAAAAGCGCGCTTCTTCTTTTTCCACGCGTGTTATTGCACAAGTGCGTTTTTTTGCGATTATTACATCGTTGTTGACTGGATTTTTTATGCGCTACTGTCCGGCACCGTTCAGAGACTGGCTTAGTTGTTTATTGTCGGTGGGTCACACGGGGCACGATTGATTTCTGCGTGAGTAAACGAGAAACATTGGTTGCTGCGGCAGGTGTTCGCTCGCGACACGTACAATGGGGGAGGCTCGTGCGGATGTAATCGTGGAAAAAAAACGATCCAGGCACCTGGAATAAATTATTGTGTATAATAATTAATGAATAAGAAATTTATTTTTTATTCGGTGCGACAATAACAAATAAAAAATTCAGTATCGTATTGAAATTATTTTCTTCTTTTTCAGCAAAGATCAATTATTAATATATCTGCGTCTAATATTTTAATTTAAAATTTAAATCTTCATCAAATGTTAATGCGCAAATTCTGTTTTACAAAAAAATTATACATTTAATATATAATCTTCTTTCTTTCCTTAAAGACTCACGCATTTTCGAGCGACATTAATCATATTATTATGTATTGTTAATTATATTAAATATCGTGATATTGATAACTCACTCATTAACAACTGCGTTGTACTTTCAATGCCCATTATTAACTCCACTTTGTTAATTTCGTTATCAAGGAGTCCTTTGTTAATTTTTTTTATATTTTAACTTAATTTTTAATTAATTTCCAGATAATTTATTTCGTTAAGATGGATAAATTTACTAATTTTTCGTTAACATATAAAAAATAAGTTGCACAGTAGGGCCTGTAGTTGTTTACAACCTAAACCAACTGATAGTTAAATCATATATAATCTTTGTTTTTCCTTCAAATTAGGCAAAGATAGACATATGATTTAACTATTAGTCAGTTTACGGGTTGAAACAACCCATAATCAGAAAATTTACTTGAAAAACGAATCTACCAATTTGAATTAGGTTAGGTTAGGTCAATCGGAAATCGGAATTTGACTGGAGACTGGAGTCCGGAGTCGGCGGAGTCGCCCTCTTCTTTCTTCGTCGATCAACGACTAGCGCGGTAGCGGCGGTAGCCAGACCTTTGACACTCCGCGCTTCCGTCATCGTCGTTCTTTTCCAGTAAAGATGGCTCCGAAGAAGCCCACGGAGAAGGCAGGTAGAGTTTCAAAACAATTTACCACGTTCGTTCCTCTTCCCACCGAGCGTGCGTTTTTCCGCGATAAACGGCGCCGCGTCGATCAACGCGGACGTAACGCATCGACGTCGCGTGGCTCGGGATCGGGGAACGCGACGCGGCCCGTGACCATGTGGTCGATCGAGCCGCGTGTTTTCCACAGCGTCGTATTCACGACACTCGCGACGATTCACGAAGAAACGTTCCTCGTAATTTTATTCGTCGTTTTTCCTCGAGTTGCATCCGCCGCGCGACGTACTCGGCAACGATTTTGTCCGACGCTGTATTCGCGTGTACCATAACCTAACCTATGAAGATGGAAGTAGAGAACCAGAGGATGAAAGTACAAGTTTCATCTGTTACTGTTTTTGAAAATAATGCAAACTTTAAATACATTTTCGACCCTCGTTCCCTTCATTGTGCCTATTCGATTATCGAACCAGTTCTGTATTGCTCTATTCCGTAGGTAAGCCTGCGGAAAAGAAGGCCGAGAAGAAGGCTGAGAAGAAGCCAGCCGCAGCGGCGTCCACCGCGAAGGTGACGAAGCCCGCGGCTAAGCCTGCAGCCGCGAAGAAGCCAGCGGCTGCCAAACCAGCGGCTGCCGCCAAACCAGCCGCCAAGCCCGCGGCGAAGCCTGTGCTCAAGCTCGCCAGCAAGCCGTTGATTAGCAAGCCGAAGAAAAATGTACAGGCTACTAAGAAGACCCCGAAGGGCGGAAAGCCGGCAGCTCCGCTTCAGAAGGCCCTCAAGGCGCAGAAAAAGGTGTTTGAAACAGAAATATTATGCTAAAAATCATTTATCTCGCTATAAGCAAAGCATTTTTTTTTTCTAATGATGAATTTTAGTGTGGGAATCTCTTTGAAATTTGTGAAAATAACTTTAACACAGTACTGACATTATCGGAGCACGCTACGTGCAAGCGTGTATTAGATATCATTGATCTGACAGTCACACTTCTTACTTGATAGATTCTGAAGGGAGTTCATGGCTCCAGAGTACGGAAGATCAGGACGTCCGTCCACTTCCACAGGCCGAAAACCTTCAGGCCACCGCGAAACCCGAAATATCCACGAAAATCTGTACCTAACAGAAATCGGTAAGAACAAACAAATTCCAGACCACGTTCGGAAATCCCAGAAATAAATCTCTCTTCTGAGAACCTATCGTTACACGTCTCTGGTACTTGTTTCAGCATGGATGCGTTCAACATCATAAAATTCCCGCTGACGACGGAAGCAGCGATGAAGAAGATCGAGGACAACAACACCCTCGTTTTCATCGTGCACACCCGCGCCAACAAGTATCACATCAAAGCGTCGATCAAAAAGCTGTACGACGTCGACGTGGCGAAGGTGAACACCCTGATCAGGCCGGACGGCAAAAAGAAGGCGTACGTGCGTCTGACGCGCGACTACGACGCACTCGACGTCGCCAACAAAATTGGCATCATATAATTTCTATCTCTCTTTCTGTTTAGAAATAAAAATTACGTCTTGTACTGATATAATAAAAATATCACTGCGGACAGATTGGACTTTATTTCACAACCCTCGCTTGAGATAATGAGAAGTTATTATATAAGTTTTTTTTTTTATAAAACGATGAAGGGTTAAAAATTGATTTTTTTTTGTCGGTATTTGTAAGATAGTACTTTTACCAACTGGTTGGAAAATATCGGCTGTTGATATTTCTCGAGAATATTACCATCTATCGAGTAGTAGGACGCAATTATTAGCTTTATGTATGTTGCGTTAGCTGATTAGCCGCCTCCTCGAGCTCGAGAGTACAAATGTCTCGTGTGACAGTGTCAGCTGAAGCAAGCTGAAGTTGGATGGAACAACAATGAGATGGGTTACATACTGTGTAAAAACAGAATAATATTGTTGTTATTTAAGTTTGAATGCATCAAATAAATAATATAAAAATATTAATACGCGTATATGGTAAGTTATTACATGCCAAATAAATTTGCCAAGAAAAAAAATAAAAGAGAGAGTTCTAATATAAAGTTACTTATATTATTATAAGTTTATAATACGTGTATCGGTCATCAAAATATCATAATTAATGTCCAATAATTATCACAGATCACCGGAGTCGCAGGTTCGGTAAATAAAAAATATGACACCGACGTGGAACTCCAAGAAAGATGAGAGCATCTACAAGGCTGCAGGTGCCATGCACCTGCGCAAGTACGGAGAGTTCTTTGAGAATCTGTTGGAGAAGTCCTGGAAGGGTGATTCAACGTTGGAATACATTATAGAGGGTCCTCTGCGCCTGGTTTACAAAACGACAGAGGACATTGGCATCCTCTCCCTGGTGGAGATGGAGAACAAGGTGCTGTCCAAGCTGCTGGCGGCGGTAGCGGGAACGTGCAGGGAAATCAGATTGCTGAAGGTGGAAGCCGCTGGCTTTTATGCGAAGCTCTTCGCCCACGGGGAAAGGATGGACGACGATCTTGCCGGTGTAGCCAAACTACTGTCGGATCTCCTGGATCTGTCCGTTTTCACCAATCGTATGTCGGCCGTCGTGCACCTGACCACGCAACAGTTGGCGAGCCTATCCGGCGCCGTCCACGAAATCTATTTACCTGTCCTGCTCGAAGGCTTCATAGATCTGTTCGTGATCCTCGTGACTCTCGACGAGATCGTCGACGCTCAACCGGCAATATTGGACCAGTGGAAGAAGTACAGGATGCACGTGCGCTCGATGATGCACAATCCGTCGCAGTTCGGCGTCGCCGGGACGAAGCTGGAGACGTTCGATCATCTGCTCAAGGATCTGCAGGAGAAACTGCTGCGAAAGAATATGTTTTTGAAGGCGATCGAGCACGTGATGGACGTGAACAAGGGCGCGGTCATGAGCGAGCAGATCGTCAGTTATCTGAAGAACATGATCACGGATGTGGAGAGCAAGTCTAACGACTGTGCGGCGTTGAACAGGAACTGGATAAGGGCCAACGTTGGCGTCGCTGTGGTGATAAAGCTGTTCGGCGCTTGCGACAGGAAGCTGATCAAGAGGGTGACGGAGGCCAACAAGAGATTCTACGCGGTCACGTTGGTGGGGAACGTGATGTGGGTGCCGAGCAAGTTCCTCAGCGACGTCGTGCCGAAGGAGACCGGCAACGCCGTGCTGGGCCCGCAACTGGGCGAGAAGATTCTGCAGGCGAGGACGCAGAGATTGCCGGTCACGGTGAACAATTTGATACAGCGAGGGACGAGCTGGTGCGTGGAGATGCAGAGCATCGTCACGAGGACCAATCTCCAGGTGTCGGACATTGGGCAAAAGCGTACGCTGCTGACGGACCTGCTGGCACTGCTGTCCCAGATGCGGGAGACCGTCGCGTTCGTGACGAATCTACACGCCTCGCTGTCCAGGCCGATGAATCGCGGCACGGTGCAGCTGATCTGCAGGCTCATGGAGCTGCAGAAGTCCCTGCAGACGATGTTCTACGCGCTCGGGCCGGTCGTGGTGCAATCGCAGGCGCAGGTGTTGCAATATTTAGCTTACTACATGCTAGTCATGCTGGAAACGGCGCGCAAGGCTCTCGTTCAGAGGGACAAGGGTTACAGCAAGGACCGGCTAGACGCGCTATCGCTGATAGGGCTGAGTATGCGGCTGATAGGCGGCCCGGCGAGCGCGGACAGGCGACTGATAGTGCGCTGCGCGTTAGCGTGCGCTACCCAGTTGACCGACACTTTCCGCGAGGAGGACGTGGTAAAGCTGCGGTTTCTATTGGACAGTTACGACGCCGTGGCCGAGTTGTACGAGCTGGTCGACGAGCACGGTGACTACTCGTTGCTGTTGCATCATCAGAACATGTTGCCCGCCTATCTCTCCTCGGTCGTCGACGGCAATACCGGCGTCTGTCACATTGCTCATCTGTTCGCTGCCTTCAACAGCGCCGTGGGCGAGCAGGAGTTTGCTGAGCTGAGGGTAAAACGCATCGCGGAACTCCGGGAAAGCCTGGTGAAGAACGTCCTGAAACCGGCCTGCCACGAGATCGAGACTAGCCTACGACTACACGTGCACGCTCATCTCAAACTGGACTCGACGAATCCCTTCAACATTGGTGCGAAAGACGGCGGCAGGGTGGTGCGAGTCCCGCCTCTGCCACTGGCCGAGAACATGATCTGCACGAAGAGATTCGTCGAGCATTACCTGAACGATATGTTTTACAATCTGACGACAGTGGCCCTGCACGATTGGAGAACCTACCGGACGATGCACGCGTTGGCCAGCTATAAGATGGGCTTGGACACGGTGCAGGACCATCTGCCGACGCAAACTCTCGAGCAGGGCCTGGACGCTCTAGAGATTATGCGCAACATCCACGTGTTCGTTTCCAGGTAATCAGAATTGTTAAATATGATATTATAAAAATTTGTATTTATGATATATTTAGTTTCGAAATTAATCAATATCGCATTTCGTCTTTCATCGTAGGTACCTATACAACCTGAACACGCAGACGTTCGTGGAACACAGCAGCGGCAACAAGCATCTAAACACCATCGGCATCCGGCACATCGCCAACTCAATTCGCACCCACGGCACCGGTATCATGAGCACCACAGTGAACTTCGTCTACCAGTTTCTGCGCGTGAAGCTGCATACCTTTTCGCAATTTCTCTTCGACGAGCACATCAAGTCGCGGCTGATGCGCGACATCAGGTTCGTCCGAGCGCAACGGGAAGCGGGCGCCGCTCCATACACATACGAACGAGCGGAGAAATTTCAGAAGGGTATCCGGAAACTGGGAATGACCGCCGATGGGCTGAGCTACCTGGATCAATTTCGACAGCTGATCACGCAGATCGGCAACGCGCTCGGCTACGTGCGGTTGATCCGTTCCGGCGGCCTCCACGCTAGCTCGAACGCGGTGTCCTTCCTGCCGGATATCGAGAGAACGGTGCCGTTTGAGTCGCTCTGTCGCGGACTGAATTATAGCGCCACGACGCAGGCCGCTGCCAGACGGTTGGAGAACGACATCGACGATCTGGTGCGCAACTTCACCGAGGGTATTCAATACTTCAAGCTACTGGTCGATGTGTTTGCATCGGCTTTCCGCGACGCCAAGTCCTATCATCTGCAACAGTTCTACGCCATCGTGCCGCCGCTAACGCTCAGCTTCGTCGACAATTCCGTATCCAACAAAGAGAAGATGTTCAAGAAGAACCAGACCGGCGCGGCTTTCACCGACGACGGCTTCGCCATGGGTATCGCCTACATCAATGCGTTGCTCGATCAGAGCTCCGAGCTGGACGGTCTTCATTGGTTCAAGACGGTGGAGCAGCACGTTGCCCAGGAGAGACTCGCCGCAGAGCGCAAGGATGATAACGGTGACGAGAAGCTCCAACAGACCAGGGCGCTCACGCTTCAACGTCTCACCGAGAGAAACGCCGAATTCCAGTTGTTATACTATAGTCTTTCCGGTGCCAGAGTGTTCTTCAAGCAACCTGATACGTAGCGCAAGACAATCTGCTCATTTTGATATTTCAATATTGTTGCTCTTGAGCACTAATTAGTTAAGTCGATTTCATGATTATTGGGAGAGAGATGGTTAGCACAGATCTCGACGATTTAGATGAATGTGCATTTGAAACCATTTCTTTCCTAATTGTTGAGTGCGATTGAAATTTTGAATAAATATAATCCCCACATTCCAGCATCTCTTCCGATTTATTCTCATACGTGTTTGCACATGTTGTAAATTACTTAGACTGCCTACGATCGTTTTTATAAATATTTTCTACATTCACGATATCGTTACAATATCAGAGCTTTGTTCAATAAATAATGGCTAGACTGAATGACTAGGTTTTTACGTCTAAAGGAGGTGCAATTACCACTCGCGATCGCAAGTAGAATCGAAAGGATAAATGAATGAAGGCGTCCAACATTCGTGTGGTGTCTTAAAATTTTGAATTCAATTACTCGTCGCAACATTGAACTGATAAGTACTATTTAATATAAGGCATTTGCAAATTATCTATAATAATGCAAATTTCGTAAGAATATAACAAGCCTTCATCCATTTTGTTTTCCAACGAATCAATTATCGAGAGACACGGTAGTGTCTCCAAGTACGCGCAGAGCGAGACCGACCGTGACTCTCTTTTACGCGACGCGACGAGTTGCGTATAACCGAGATTTTAAGATCTCAACAATGACTAAACGGTCTATTTCACCAGACCAAGTCTTCATTTTTTCGAGAATCGGATTGACAAAAGAATCACATTTCCTTTTCAATCCGGGTCGATGTTGCGTTTTTTTTTTTTTAAATTTCAATAAACTATTGTGCCTAATTAACACGCACTATCGGCGTACGATGCACATAGACGTATATATATATTTATATACACAACATCAATTACTTTCGTAGCCGTATATGCTAGAAAGCAAACGCATCGCGTACTTTGCGTACAATAAAAATTTGCATTTGTTTTAATCGTCATTTCGTAAAACGGTCCCCACCGTTCGTAATTCGAATCAAGTATTCTTCCAATATACCAATGACAATTCTA